GTGTTGGCGTTGGTGTTGGTGTTGGCGTTGGTGTTGCTGTTGCTGTTGTTGTTGGTGGTGGTGGTGGTGGTGGGGCGGGGTTGGTGGCGGTGGTTGCTGTTGTTGCTGCTGCTGTTCTTGGGCTTGGTGAGTCTTGTTCTATCACGATAGGTGTTGGTGTTGGTGTTGGTGTTGGCGTTGGCGTTGGGGTTGGTGTTGGTGTTGGTGTTGGTGTTGGTGTTGGTGGTGGTGGTGGTGGTGGTGGTGGTGGTGGTGGTGGTTGCGGTGGCGGTGGTTGGTGAGTCTTGTTCTATCACGATAAAAACAACCGAGTGGCCTTTGGGTTGCAGGTCCTTGAACCTCATGGGTTTGTCAGCCACGCGTCGCGGCTCCTCCCGCTCCCGGCCGTCCTCGGCCTCACCCTCGTCGAGCAAATCCTCACAATACGATGGTTCGTAGCTTCCACCAGCCAGGCAAACGAAACCATCATGCAGGTAGATCTCGTACTCCTCCTCACGCCTGCGGAGCCGCGGCAAATCCACGCTCCTTCTGCTCGGCGTGTGGCGCAAGGTAAACGTCCCGGATGGGTTCTTTGCCTCAACTTTCCCATGGTTCGTACTGCAATGACAGACAAACTGAAGAAACTATACATGACACTCCAATCCAACCCGAGACACGAGCTTGAAACCGTGATGGGGATCGTCCTTGGCTCCCGAGCTCGGGTTGCGGGCCTCCCGCTGGCGGCTGTCTGGGTCACCACGACAGAATGCCACCACGTCGTCGGGAAGCGGGGCCGGCTTGCCGTGCTTTCCCTTCTCGGGCAACTTCCAAGCAAAGCCACCGATGTCTTGTCGACGAAGCCTGCCGTTCTTGAACAAGTCGAGCTGCCATCTCATGTACATGTGCTGCTCCTTGACCGACCACCCCGTGTGCTCGGCGGGGCGTCCTCTTTTCCCGTACTGGGCATTGGCGGCAGCCACCACACTTGCACAGTCATTTCCTGCCTTGGGGTCTTCCGGTAGCCATCCCACATTGAAGGCCAAGCAGGAGAACAAGCGAACCCGACTTTGGTCCTTCAGGCAATCCTTGTGCAAATAGGTGCCGTCGATTTCCTGGAGCCAGTCCAAGATATGCGAGTCCTAGGTGATTCTGTCTGAGCGGTCGCATGTTATAATGTAGCGAAATGCGGCATGGTCCCCAACAGCGACTGAGACAAGCACCACGAAATCGGCCATTTTGACTTGACTCTTGTACGCAGTCTGCTTAACGCTTCGGCGTCCCTGTAGGCTGCGGGAAAGTTGGGAGGGCGGCTTCGGCGCACCTTTGGGCGCGGCCTTTGGCATCTGCTTCTCGGGTCGCGTGGCTCCGGGTTGCACGTTCGGAAACCTTAACAAAACTCAGGCACTCCAGCTGCACACGTGCACAACACGGAGCACAATGCAGCTCAAGTCCACGCAATCTGGCAATCCAAGTCGCATGGTGTGATCATCATCACATGAGCTCGAGTCATCTGCTGGAATTCCAGCAGTATCTGAAAGGATGCGGCGTGCCGGGACCACCGCCCGAGAGCGTTCACGCCCTTCATGCTCGGATGTGCGGCGTTCTGGGGCCCGATCTCCACGAGACCGCGGTGGATCCGGCGCATCCGGTCTCTTGCTGTGAGGTCTTCCACCACGCGTAGGGGGCGGCGGAGGAGCTTTGTTCTTCATGTGGCAACACCCCAGTATTGCACAACAATGACACCACTCTCAAACTGGCTCAAACCCATCAGAGGCTTCAGCGATCTCTCCATGCGTGCAATGAGAACAGCAGCAGCACGAACTCTGTCTGAGGCAACACGACCATCACTCTTTTTACTCAGGGGTAAGCAGCAGGATCACGCAGGATCCCTGACCTCCGGCAGGCATGTCATGCAATGCAATTACTGAGCAGCATCTCGCATCCTGTAGCAGGACAATGCCACTAGCTGAGCGACGCAGGCGGTAGAGAAGTGAAATGAGTTACCTGCAACCGATGAGGCGCGGAGGGGGTCTGCCACAGGCAGCATTGGCACTCCCATCGCAATGGCGGTGTCCTTCGTCACTGGGAACCCCAGTGCACTGAGCTTCTCAACAGGAACCATCCACCTTCGCAAAAACGGGCTGTACAACTTGCCACTCCCTCTTCTCAAGGTGGGGATTTTCCCACTGTGTGCACTCCATATCAAGCGGTTCTCGGGATTGTCGCCCAGATGCACCACAAGATCAGGATCAGAGGCAGCCCTCTTCTGGAAAACAGCGCGGTAACGCTGACGCACGCATCTCCAAGCACGTCGTTCTCGATCATTGAACAAAGAGTCCATGCGATGCGCCTGTCCAGTGTGCAGCAGACCGGAAAGGCAGCAAGTCATACCACAACACAGCAGGCTCCGCTGCAACAGAGCCAAGGCACCTTGCGGAAGAACATGTTCCGGACCCTAGCCGTGTGTTGTGCTTCTTGAATCACCTGGCTTCGCGTAGCCACGAAGTAATCCCTCGGACGCGTTCGGGCTCGAGCTTTGATGTTGTCAGAGACCTGCTCATAGACAAGCCTTGGGTCGTGCACCTGCTCCACTTGACCGAGCCTGGCTAGGATCAAGTAGGTCCTGTCTCGTGCAACAGCTGCGTGGCCTTGGTCACCCGGGCTTACGCAGAGCTGCTGGATGTGGTAGTAGCGGCCATAGAGCAATCTGATCATCTGCATGTCCAGTTCCTGCAGAATGCAGAGAAACAACCTTCTGTATTCGTTTTGNNCACAAAACGAATACAGAAGGTTGTTTTTTTATAGAAGTTGCTGTAGGGTTTGAGGGTACCAAGCTTTACGATATCCAGTCCGCTGTCTATCCGGCCCAGTAGTTATGTCATCTCAACTTATCAGTGCTAGACGGTGTCTATGCCTGTGTCGCACTGCCTTAACTCAAGCACACGAACCACACAGACCCGGTCCTGCACATTCTCAATGACAAGCAGCGGCGTGCCCAAATGTATGTGCAGCTTCGCGTGACACGCAAACACAGTGGCTGTTGGGCCTTCTCTTCCTCGCCTCCGCCCAGCCCTACTGAAATCGGGGCAGGGCAAGCCACTCACATCGTAGTCCGGCTTTTTTGCAAAGCCACCCAGAATGGAGCACACCTTCCCATGTTGATAGCAGTACTGGCCGGCACAAAAGTCGGACCTGTCAACGGCACGAACCCTTTGCATAAATGAACCACCCGGGTCCACACTGCCGGCTGGCAAAATGCCTATCAAATCACCATGCACGCAAGGAAGTGGGCGCTGGCCAGCAACTTCCTCGCACCACCGAGCGTGGTCTGTGATCAACTGACGGCACCTTCTCGATGTCTCCTGGGCACGCACATGCACGAACGTGGACAGTGAACAGACCAGCGCAACAAGGAACGAACACTCACTCTGTCACACACACACACACACACACACGCAGTCTCTGCCTCTCTTTCTCTGTCTACGTCTCTCCGTCTTTCTATCTCTTTCTCTCACACCTACACACAACCCACACCCCCCCCCCACCCCTACACCCCCGCACACACACACACACACCCACCCACCCACCCACCCACCCACCCACCCACCCACCCACCCCGCACCCCTTTGCAGCCCCCACAAACCCACAACCCCCCCGATTATCGCGCCACGCTCCCACACCCCCCACCCCCACACACCCGATCACCCAGCCACTCACACTCACGCAACCAAATAAGTGAGATGCTTCTGCCAACAGTCACACCGCACACTTGCAGACGTGTGCAACGCAGCACTGAGTACCTGTCGTGAGCTCGCACTGGAGAAAAAACCACTGGCGTTGGCAATTGTCCACTCTCATTCACTGTCTTCTCTATAACCGCCAATGCCATCTCACCAGTGTAAGCGCCGGTGCAACTCGAGGATGTGTAGCTCACCCGGGCCAGCATCGATTCCTGCCCGGCGATCACTGAATCACACGCACAACATTAAGATAAGTTTACTGTACTGAGTTGCTGGCCCGTACTCCCGAGGCGAACCACAACTTTATTTGCTGCGACCCGAACACTGACGGGTCCTTCAAATCAGAATGTCCACAAACTCGTACAATCGTCGACCACGCAAGCTGCACGCATCGAGCACACTGCGCGAGAGGAACATCCTCGACCATGTCCTGCGTGAAGCAGAGGCTGCCAAAGTCAGCCGGGCAAACTCATCTGCACAGTCTCCGGCCTCCTCCGGAGACGAACTACATCGCACTTCCGAAGATTGGGTCCAAGGCGGCGCATCCGAGGCTGTGCCACTTTCCATGGAGCACGCGCTCTCAGACCCTAACATCCCAACCCACGACTGGGACTACAAATGAGCCCCTGGTTGAATCGAAGTGAGCACAGAAAGTCAGCTGAGCAAGCCAATTCCTCCTTAATGTTGCACGGCCACACTACCTGAGTTCGCAGCCAAGGGGGGAGCCCACCCACCAAGCTGGTGCTCTGGTGAATAGAGCCAAAGAAGCTCTGTTGGCTGCTTGCCCACTGTGGATGCGTCCATGAAAACCTGCGCCAGTCCACACGTGCACGAAGTGCCTGTTCCGGGCACACGAGCAAATTCGACCCTCAGGCGTGGACGTGGAAGCATTGGCAGGTTCTCAGCAAAGTGGCCAGATGGCAAAAGTACGTGAACTTAGCCACAGAAAGGCACACACCTGCAGCAAGTTTCCGAGTCTCAGTGTCTCAGGCTCCAGCCATTGCCGGCCCATAAATCTGCGTCCCTTGCAATTTCAGATTGCGCCCGACCGCTGTCACGGCCTTTGACAGAAGCTTCTCCTTTGATTGGGGCCGTGACGGGCGAGCACACGAAACACACTATACAGCTGCATATTTAAAGATGAACAGGACAGGCGACGGTCCCCTCCCAAAGCTTCCGGGCCACTTGCTCCACCAGAACACTGACCACATGATGCTTCTGCCTCTTCTGGTTTTTTGTTTGTTGCGCGTCTGTCAAAAAGTCTGCTTCTCGCTGCGCTTTCGAGCACAGAGAGTCTAGGTACTCGGCGATCTCCGACATCATGTTGAACACACGACACAACAAGGAATCTTGAATTGCTGTTGTGTGCTGTGGGTCCAGGGCGAAACAAAGCAATTCCGCCAGTGACACATGTTCCAAGCCACTCGCACTCGAGATCCAAGGCTTCGCAGCATCTCTGCGATCAGCCTCCCAACTATCTGCGATGTGCTCGTCATAAAACTCCGTTGTCCAAAAGTCGTGGCCTGACACACGACCTCCGAAATCCACGGCCACATCTACCCTTTGGTCGTCTCCAAACCTGTCAAGCTCAAGCTCGAACCCACCCAATGTGCTAGCCAGCATCGACAGAAGCTTTGCAAACCCTTTGCAGGCTTTGTCCCTGTCCTTCGGGACCCTGTATTTGAAGTGTATGCTGTATGCTGCGGTCGCCAGAAGCACGGACGTGGTCATGGTCCGTTCCCTGAACCACGCCTCCTGATCCACGTCAGCTCGCCCTTTGCTGAAAGGGTTCTGCTTGGGTTCCCTCTCCGGGACTTTGAAACCAGGCCAAATCATTCGGTGGTAATCTCGGATGTTCTGTCTGGCTGAACGAAACGCTTGCAAACGCTTCGAGTCCTTCTGCGTCCGCCAGAATAGCCGAAGAGCCTGCGCAGGAGGTGAAGCAGTTTTGCGTGTGCAACGTGTGGCACTACGCTCAACGACAGAAGAGAACAGCCTCCACCGCCACCCATTCACACTGAACTTTCTCAGAGGTGTAAACCGTGATGTCCGCGCCCGCCACCTGCAGCAAACCTGAGGCAGAAAGACTTGGAGGCTAAAACATCAGTCAATAAGTTGTTCCCTACACACACGGATCTGGCGCCGAGACCAGCACTGCGCGAACTGAAGAGTACTGAAGGATCAGCAACGTCATCCGCCATGAGAACCACGGCCTAGACTTTGAAAACAAAGCGGTTGCCCTAACCCCTGCTGCTGTCGGGATCTTCTAAGCCCCCGACTGGTGCCGAACAGCAGGGTTCGATCAGAGAACCATGCCGCAAGGAAGCAAGGTGAAGTCACAGCAGTTTGTCACACAACACACGGCAGCAACGATAGTTTGTGCTACGGGGTGCACAGACTGCTGGACAATGCATGCTTTACAACTTGCGTCTGTCATGCTCCCCTGAATCACTGAAGCCTCGCAGGTCCTGTGACGGGCTGCGTTAGATTCAAGCAGCACATCTCGAAATTTGGAAGCAAGCCGAGATTGATGTCCCGCAAAATAATGCCTAATTAGATACTAATTTGGCTCTAATCGGGGTGATAACGAAATAAGACCAAAATAGCTTATTTCAGCCTTATTTCGTAATTTTGCTCGGCCCGGAATAGTAGCTTATTAAGGCTCTAATAAGGTACTATTTGGGGGGGGGGTAGTAGGGGGGGGGGGTAGTGAGCAGCTTCATGATACTACTACGACTACTACTACCACTACTTCTACTACTACTACTACTACCACTACTTCTACTACCATTACTACTACTACTACTACTACTACTACCACTACTTCTACTACTATTACTACTACTACTACTACTACTACTACTACTCCTACTCCTACTACTACTACTACTACTACGACGACGACGACGACGACTACGACTACGAGTACGACTACGACTAGGACCAGGACTAGGACTACGACTACGACTACGACTACAACTGCCACTCCTACTACTACTACTACTGCTGCTGCTGCTACTACTACTACTACTACTACTACTACGACTACGACTACGATAGTGACTACGACTACTACGACTGCGACTACGACTACGACTACGACTACGACTACGACTACGACTACGACTACGACTACGACTACGGCTACGACTAATGCAACTACTCCTGCTACTGCTGGTGGTCTGTAATTCGACGACTATTCCG